CTCGCTTCGCTCGCGATTTCCTATGGGGAATACCTCTGTTTTGCTCGGTCATGCTCCTGTTTACCAGAGTATTTAGACATTTGTTAATTTTTACCTCTCATTCGATAGGAAAATGTTTCATCTGAAAGGGTTAAAATACTCGGGAATTTCGTCAATTTATGCTCGGGAAATACGGGAAAAGTTCGGGAATTTTATTTTCGGTCGGCGCTCGACACCCTGTCTTACCCCCTCAGGTCCCCACTAATTGGCTGTTGGTGCTGCTGTTCGCTACGTTCTGTGCGCGCCCCCTCCCACTTTTCCCTACTCTTTCCCGCCACGCCCCGCCACGCTCGACCACCCTGAAGAGTTATCGGTCGAGGACGTTAGTTTGGAGCGGCTGCTACCGTGCCGTGGGAATCTCATCCAAGCCGGCAGTCTGCCAGAGTTTTTTATTTCCCTCGTAAGGAAGTGGGATTATCGATGGAGCCGCGCGGTACGGCATTTTAAGCTTATTCTTGCTTCCAAACATTCTTTTGTTCAGTGTTCTTTCTCCCTTTTTTTTTTTGTTTGGTCCAGCGAAATTTCGTCGATTACTCAAGTCGGAAAGTACACAGAAAGAGAGAGGGGGGGGGGCAACATTGACCTTCCTTAACATTTTTGCATCTTAAAAATCTTTACAGGCTTGCAAACACTCGAAGCACCCTCCTTCTTTTGTCGGGACCAGGGAGACGTAAAAAGATAATCATAAAGATAAACACGATGAAAATGGAAGCGTGCTGCAAACCTGTTCGAGGAAATATGTTGTCGACGTGCGTCGACGTGTCGGGATTTGTGCTGTGCTGTTTCGCTCCAAGCAAGAGGGGAAACGGGTTAGAGAGGGAGAGAGGAAGAGGAAAGGGGCTGTGGGGGCTCCGACATCAGCAGCGTGAAATATACGCACGGGCCGGGCGCATATGTTATTATTATGTAATGCCCCGGGTATCGTGAACAGGAAGAGCGGGTGGGGGTGAGGGGCGAGGCCGTCAGTATAGGTAGGGAGGGGATTTTCGTGAGTTAGGTCCCCTGAAGGCTCTTTAACCGGGGGGTGGGGGAGGCGGTATAGAATAGGTAAGAAAGGGCACGGGGTGTTGAATCCCCGCGGAATCCCTGTTTACCCCGTACACAGTCCGTGGGGAATATTCGCCTTGAAACAACCAGTGCGCGCATTGCCGCACGTAAAAGTATTCCGGAAGTGTATGGGAGAGGGGTGTAAAGGAAAGAAGGGGGCGAGGAAAGGATGAGGCGGGGGCGGGAGCCCCAAAAACGTTATAAGGGGGAGGAACGCGAAGGATGTCAGTGGGGCTCAAAGTGAATGCAAAAGTGGGCTCGAGCCCGGGCCGCGCGCTGACTGGCATATTTTCAGCACGGGGCGCCCCTTCCGCAAGAGTCTACAAAAGAGATCTCCACGCAGACACGCTTTCCTGTCGGTGACTTTGGAAACTTTTTATTTTTTCAGATATTATTATTTCCCCATCGTCACCGCCAGATATCGACACCGCGCGCGAGGTGTGAGGCGCTCTTTGTCGAGCTATCGAAGCCCGACGGCGATCTCTCTCGCAATCAATAAGCACCTTAAACCGCGGGGGAGCTTTAATGACAGTGATGAAGGGTCCGGGAGGGGCTTGTGTTGGCAGAAAAGGCGCGTCTGGACGTGGTAGGGCGTGGCGGCGCGGGGAAGAAGCTTTCCCCTCAATCATGCTTAACCCAAACAACAGCAGCTGTTGCTGTTCCACCCGGTCGATGCGTCGCTCCTCGATGACAAGCACTGATTTCTGGTTACAAGGGGGCAATTTAAAGTACACACTAAACACTGGCGAGAGTGAGTGAGAGTGAGAGACAGAGAGGGAGGGAGAGAGAGAAAGAGAGAGAAAGTTCTGGGAGGATTTTTTTTCTAGTGCTTTGGTCTGGCAGGGTATGGCCGGGTATGGCCTCCGCGTCGTCGTGTATTGCGTGTCCGTGTCCCGACCGGACCAGTAACCTCTTTGCCGGCGCCAGTGAGTCCCGGACGAAGGTCCCCGATGGGGGGGAAGTGAGGGGGAGGAGGAGGAGTTTGTGATAAGAGTCGTTGCGCTGTGGAGGGAGGGAGGGTAGGGGTTGGAAGGGGGTGCGGGTTGCGGGGAAGGCCGAGGAGGGGAGGAGGGTGAGGGCAGATGTGTCCTGCACGCACTGGCCCTGGCCGGCCACTACCGCCCTGATGAGCCGCCCGCCGCAGTACGAGTCGGGGGCCGCGCCCCACACTGGCTGGGTCCTCCCAGACGGTAGGCCGCTCGCCGCCCTCCTGGCACCGGCGACGGCGTCCTCGCGTGTCCTCCTGTCGTCGTTATTTCTCTGTAGTACCGTCTTGCTGCTTCGCTTCTGCCCTGGTGCGCCGATAACGGCGGCAGCGGTGGTTATACTCTTGTCACGTTTTCCTCGGCGCGGGCGCGGGCGCGGTGCGGGTCGAGCCAGCAAGCGCTTGTTGCCAGAGCGCACAACAGGTTATGTGCGGGTGTCTTCTCTGCGTGCCCCGCAAGTCGAGGGCGGGCCCGGCAGGTAAAGCGCCTACGGCGATGGAGGGTGGATCAAAAAGCAAGAAAAAAAAGGCATTGAAATTTAATATAGTGATTTTGAGTGAGGTGCCCACATTGAACAGTTTCGTTTGCTTTGTTTCCTATGGAAGCAGGTCACAAGCGGGAGCCATCTTATTTTGCTTCCTATCGTCACTACACACTCTACAGGCTAAAAAGTGTTTTCTTGGTTGAATAATCTATTTGTAAATTTTTGTTTGTACTTAAGTTGTGGGTATGTTTTTACTTCCCCTGAAATCTTCACACCACTCTCCCGGTAGTCGGATTACTTTTCTAAAAAAATTGCTGTGTTTTTCGTTCAATAAACAGGACGTAATGACGTAATGATGTTGTTTTACCATTTGTTGGACTCCTGGCTGCTCGTCTCTGGCTTTTAAAAAGAGAACCAGCAGTGGGGGTGGGGGGAGCGGCCCTGGCCGGAGAGGAGGCAGTTCCTCGATACCGGAGTGTTTTATTGCCTCCCTTATAGCCATTCATGGGTCCTCATCCCCCCCCCCCCCCCTCTCTCTCTCTCTCTCTTTCTCTCTCTCTCAGTCTCCCTCCCTCGGAAATGTCCCGGGCTCGGGGTGTCCAGGTGGCCCAATCGTTCGACGGGGTACGGGCTGGGAAGTGCCCTTCCGAGGGTCGCTACTGTACTGTACTCAACTGTACTGTTTGCGTCTGCTGCCGACACCGCCCGTGTTACATGATACGGGGGGGATTATCACCATCCTGCGGTCAAAACTAGACCAACCATTTCAAGTTGTCTGCTTATCTTCTCACCCCTCACCCCTCGCCTACACCCTGGGGTTCACAGTGAATACCACGTCCTCGGGTGAGTGTGAATTTTTGCCGGGCAAGAATTCGCTCGTGATATACGTTGTACGCCTGTAAGCGAAATTAATACGAAGTAATGCGAAACGAACGCGAAATGGTGAAAAACACAAGGCGAAATAGTCGTGAAATAACCCGGAATAATCCGAAACGCCTTCGGTATCGCTCGTAAGCTGTGTTCCTGAGTAATTTTCCCAACCTGTATCTGTACCCTCGGTTTGTAAAAACAAGCAAAAGATCAATCGTGTGTTTCAGCAAGTGCGATAATGAAAAGGGAGCGAGAGAGGAGAAAGGGGGAATTTAGAGGGAAATTTAGAGTTTCAGGCATGTATGGCCCTCTAAATGAATGAAATGCATGATGTATGGTAGCCAACAGAGTGGGCGCTCTGTTGTAATCATTATCTTTATGAGGCCCACGGAAATAAAAACTCCCCACCCCAGAGCAATATCAATATCCCCGCGTTTATATTACACTGCCCTGTGGCAGCGTTGCCGCGTTTCAACATATGTGGTCTCCGCAGAGGACATTGAGAACACAGACTTCGAGACAATTCTTGACCGTGTATAATTTGACGTGCTGACTTTCCTTGTTTCAGGATCCGAACTGAGCGGCCGCTCTCTCCTTAACCTCAACGACGACGAGGACGGTGCTGGCGATGACGTCCGCGTGGCCACCTCGGCGGCGGGCGTGGACGTGGTGGTGGCCGACACCGCGCCGTCGTCCACCCTGGGGAGGCACTTGTCCAAGAGCGCGTCCGAGCTCAGCGGCGGCTGCGGGGGCTGCGGCGGATGCGGGGGCTGCCTCCGGGGCGGCGGGTCCCGCGGTGCCGTCCGGCCCCCGCCGCCCCCGGCCGCGGGACCCTCCAGGGACTCGGTGTGCACCACGCCACCCCGGTCGCCGCAGCGCTCTCCCCGCGGCTCCCCGCGGCTCCTCCGCCCCTTCCGCGCCCACCTGACACCGCCGGGGTCGCGCCGAGCAGCTGCCGCCGCCGACGTCCGCCACCCGTCGCCCAGCAGGCTGCCGCCCCCGCTGGTCGCCATGGCCGCCGCCCCCGCCGCCGCTCCTGCCGCGCAGGCGTCCATCTCCGCGCACCTTAACGTCGTGCAGAAGACGCACTCCTTTTTCAACAACCTCAAGGTGAGTTACTGCCAAAAACATCTTTGTAAATTTTCAACTTATTTTGCATTTTCTATTTACAGTACATACATGTATTGTAACGACTGCTCATATTTTCCCCCATCTTGTTCCAAGTCGAAACATAGCGAATGTAATTTTCCAATTTTAAGTTATCTCAATTTTCCCTAGGAAAAGATTCGAGCTCGAACCCCCAAGGAATTGCCTACAGTTCCGAATTGAGAACCGTGGCTGCTGCCAACTAAACAATGAGCGTATAACATTGCAACTCTATATGTTATTCAACTTGAGTAGGTGAACGAGGCGAAATGGAGTCATTTGCCACCCTGTGTACTGTCGACCAAACGACCGTCGTGGCCAGGCGTGGCCATGCGAGGCCGGGTTCCCTGGAAGCTTATGCCAGCTCATGCATTTCACAAAATAACGCTCCAAAACTTCCTGTTCTTATTCTCCGCTCGCACAGTGATGGAGAACCAAGAGTCCCGAAGGACCGTGTAACGTGGAGGCGACCAGGAAACGCAGGGGGAGAGAGAAAAGCGCGGAAGAGATCAGTCGGAACGCAACGCATCCAGCACAGAGCTGAGCCCGAGGGGTGGACGACTGGGCGGCTCCTGTGTACAGGCCAAAATGTACTCCA